TCAAAAATTGTTAACTAAAATTTTTTGATTAAAGAAAGAACGAAAAACTGGCAAGAGAGAAGAAAGGCTTAATTGTCTCTGGGGCCAAGACTATAAATTCCTGGTGTATCTCTCCACGCATTTTGTGTTTACAAAGTAAACTGTAAACAAACTCAATTTATTATTCTAGGAAGTTATGTTAATGAAATTTTGATTTAAGTATGTTTCTAATGTTTGCAGTCATAAAGCATTAAAATATTAGAAACAATCAATAAATAAAATAAATGGGTTGTTAGAATATTATTGTCTATTTTGGATATTTATTTAAACATAGATTTATTTTTATGAGACTATTTTGTTTTTTGCTCATTATCATTCAAAATATTGAAAAATTCTATAAAAAACAATAATGTATTAATAATTCACACAAAAATTAAATGCAACTCAGTTCTAAAATTTTTTATACTTTCTTTTTATTTTCTGAAAATGCAGTTACCATTGTAGAAGGATAAACATCTTTCAACGACTTATTTTATTTAAAAAAAAATATTAAATAGTTTGATAATTCCAGACTAATCAAGACCTTCAGGAGGCAAGCAAGAAATGTAGCCTACTTCAAACTAGTCTAGATGACGTTCAGTGCCAAATTAAAATTCTCGAGAATGATAAAGAATCACTATTAAAGGAAATAGAAATTAACGTAAGTATTTGTAATTTTATTTTGAAACATTGATGTACTCGGTAAAATTATTTGTATTCTAGTGAAAGTTTATTATTTATTAAGTATTTTGAATCTAATGTAAAATAAGACAGTTGAGAAGCTTTATTTTAAATGTGATAATTTTTGATTTTTTCAATTTAAGGTAATTACTTTACGAATATGATGACATTTTAATAAATTTCATTTGTTTATTTAGTTTATCTTAACAGGATATTCTTACTTTAAATTTTGTGTGTTTATCTTGGCAGAAAGAAACATCAGCAGCTGATAAAGCAGAAATTAGAACATTAAAACAAGAGTTGGAGAAGAAAGATAAAACTTTAGAAATGAAAACTCATCAAATGGAAAATCTCTCTCAGCAGCTAAAAGATGTAAATCATTATTATTTTTTTTTCTGTTGTTAATATTGTTCTTCATTTTATTTTTAAAAGAAAAAATGGAGAAATTTTCTTACTTGAATTTCCTTTTATTTTTTTTAATTTATTCAGCTTCCTTTTCTCGTAAAATTAAATTTAAATTATATTTTAGATTTCATTAAAATTCTGAAAGTGCATATTACTTTTTTAACAACATTAAAAGGACCATTTCTTTACATTTCTATACTATTATTTTTTCATTGAATTAATGGTTGTTAAATAGTTATGAAGAAAATTAAAATCATTTATCTTAAAAATGGCTGGCTGTTTTGTTTCTAAACCTGCATTTCTGTTTCAAAGATGGCTGGCTGTTATGTTTTCTAAATCTATATTTTTCTTTTAAAGATGGCTGCCTCTTATATTTCTTTTAAAGATGGTTAGTTGTTATGTTTCTAAATCTATATATTCTTTAAAAATGGCTGTCTGTTATGTTTCTATACCTCTACTTTTACTTTTTAAGATGGCTGGCTGTTATATATTTTTCCTCCTATGTTTTTCAATTCTAACCACTTTTCCCTTTACTACACCATTTGGTACATGATGTCCATTTCTTCTTGGCGTGAAAGCCCGTTGTCCTTTTGGTTTTCCCCTTTGTGCAGTGTTGGAATTTTTCCTCTTGTTCCTAATTCTGACACAGTTTCAAAGATATAAATTGTAATTTGCTGGATTTAATTTCAGAAAAAGTCGAGCAAATTTTATGTTCAAGATATAAGTTTATCTCAGTCTAAAAAGAAACATGAAGTAAGTTAATTTTGCATTCAAAAACATGTAGATTTGTGTTTTTAGAATTATAAATCATGTTTTGTCCAGAAATAAGCAATGTAAGAGAAGTAAATTTTTTTCAATTCCTTGTTTTAATATCCCGACTTTTCCTTGTATTAATAGTTACCGGACTCAATGAAATCAGAATGATAATACTCTTCCCTGTGTCATTGCCCTCTGTAAATTTCGCATTCAAGGAAAGTGTGTGGCTTCCTTATTTTACTATTGTCTTTAATAGTTTTTGTCCATAATCTCTTGCAACAAAAATCCCTTCCATAAAAATACAAAAATTTAGATCCCCTAATAAACATATTCTTAGCAAAATTACT